GGAAAGGTCAACTAAGGTCATGACTCTCTCAACTAATCCACTCTCTCTTCTGATTGGTTGGGAATCTCCACAGTTAATCAATCAGATGAAAATGCAGTAAATCTAACCAATAATATAAAAAAAACTCTGTTAATTATAAAGGTCCTCTGATGACTGGCAAATCCTCTTGTGTTCTGATTGGTTAGGAGATAATCGGATCATTGGTGATTGGTCTAGAATACCTCGGCCCTATTTCTCTCACTAACAATCATCAGGTACAGTATTTTCTTCGTAGTTCGATGACTTTAAATGAGGTAAAAAATATATTCTCCAATGTTCGTAAGTAAGAATTTTTTTTGGTCGTAAGTGAAAACGTAAGAATTCGCTTATTTATTGACCCAAACTAAGATATGAAAATGGATTCTCAAAAATTCGTAAGTTGAAAATTGTTCGTAAATGACAAACTTTCTCTCTCTCTACACTACAACAGTACACCACATGTTCACTACAACAGTACACCACATGTTCACTACAACAGTACACATCATGTTCACTACAACAGTACACCACATGTTCACTACAACAGTACACATCATGTTCACTACAACAGTACACCACATGTTCACTATAACAGTACACCACATGTTCACTATAACAGTACACTACATGTTCACTACAACAGTACATCACATGTTCACTATAACAGTACACATCATGTTCACTACACCACATGTTCACTATAACAGTACACCACATGTTCACTATAACAGTACACCACATGTTTACTATAACAGTACACTACATGTTCACTACAACAGTACATCACATGTTCACTATAACAGTACACATCATGTTCACTACACCACATGTTCACTATAACAGTACACCACATGTTCACTATAACAGTACACCACATGTTCACTATAACAGTACATCACATGTTCACTATAACAGTACACTACATGTTCACTACAACAGTACATCACATGTTCACTATAACAGTACACATCATGTTCACTCAAGCGATCACTCAACACACACACACACACACACACACACACACACACACACACACACACACCTTATAAACGCACCAATTGGAACGAGAATCAGTAAATTCGACAGTTTATGAATTATTTTCTGACAGCCTTCGACAATTCCTAATAGCTTGTGGCAGCCTGGGATAGCCGCTCGAAGCTCCTGCCAGCCGACGTCAACAGCTAGAAACACGGCTATAAAATTCTGACAACACTGACAGGAGGAGGCTTAGTTTATGGGGTTGACCTCTTGAAGTGTCAGCCAGCGTGTCAGAAGTGAGGGAAGGGGAGGCCAGGATGTTGAGATGAGGAGGGGAAGGGGAGGATGTTTCGGAGGAGACAGGGGAAGGTTGGGGGTACTGTGGAAAAGAGGGAGAGGAGGTGTGATCAATCTCTTGGGGGAGAGAGAGGGAGAGGAGGTGTGGTCAATCTGTTGGGAGGAGAGAGAGAGGGAGAGGAGGTGTGGTCAATCTGTTGGGAGGAGAGAGAGAGGGAGAGGAGGTGTGGTCAATCTGTTGGGAGAGAGAGGTGTGGTCAATCTGTTGGGAGGAGAGAGAGGAGAGGTGTGGTCAATCTGTTGGGGAGAGAGAGGGAGAGGAGGTGTGGTCAATCTGTTGGGAGAGAGAGGGAGAGGAGGTGTGGTCAATGTGTTGGGAGAGAGAGAGGAGAGGAGGTGGTCAATGTGTTGGGAGGAGAGAGAGAGAGGTGTGGTCAAGAGAGAGAGAGAGGAGGTGTGGTCAATGTGTTGGGAGGAGAGAGAGAGGGAGAGGAGGTGTGGTCAATCTGTTGAGAGAGGAGAGAGGTGTGGTCAATGTGTTGGAGAGAGAGAGGGAGAGAGGTGTGGTCAATGTGTTGGGGAGAGAGAGAGAGGAGAGGAGGTGTGGTCAATCTGTTGGAAGGAGAGAGAGGAGAGGAGGTGTGGTCAATCTGTTGGGGGAGAGAGAGAGGAGAGGAGGTGTGGTCAATCTGTTGGGAGGAGAGAGAGGAGAGGTGTGGTCAATCTGTTGGGGAGAGAGAGAGGAGAGGAGGTGTGGTCAATCTGTTGGGAGGAGAGAGAGAGGGAGAAAAGGGGGGGGTTGTCAATCTAAAAAATTAAGTTAATATTTTTGCTGTACAAACAAAACTGAGTGTCTTTAGGCTAGTTCAGACCAGTTGCTCAGTTTTCAGCAGTAGCAGTAGTGTCAGCATTATGTGACAATGAATGATTTTTAATAATTATTCCAAATAATTCATAATGGAGTTAATTGAGATTTACCACACAGTGAAAGATCGCTATAGATATGAAGTGGGGTGTCATGCGCAGTCACAACACGTGAAGAGGAAGGAGGGGCCATCTATGTATATATTACTCTGGGAGGCACCACACCACACCTCTCGCAGAGTCATCATAGTTACCCATCAGAGTATCTGGCAGAATGACACCCCAGCTCCACCCAGCGAACATCCTACTGCTGCTGTTATGGTGGCCTTCACCACCAGCGATGGGGAATTCTACGACAACTTCAGAGTGGCTGGAAGCTATTGCAAGACCAAACCAGACAGGTGTCCTTGAGGAAGCCCGGACATCAGTGTTGCCAATTAGGAGGAGAGAGGGGACAGAAAACGACCTCGGGAAAACCCCAGAGTCCGTGACTTCCAGCAAGTCAATGCGGAGTGTTGGAAGAGTTTCACCCCTTCACGAATTTTCTGGGGCAGCACCAAGACTCCTCCATCAACACACTATGAGTGATCAAGTAAGATTTTTTATTTATTTTTTGCTTTGTGCACATAATCTCCGTCATCATTTGGTGTTTTAAGGCCATTATTTTATTACGTCGCCTCACTCCTCCATACCCACCCTTTCTGAGTATATGGCTACGAGGCAGATACGCCAAGCCTCCCTTTCACTACATCCCCCTGTACCTCACCCCCTCCTGTCTCTTCTATGTATTGTTCCAACCTTCCCTCCCACTACACGGTGAAGGCGGTCTTCCTTCACCCAATGCACTTGCTATATTGCCCCAGTACGCCCTCTTCACTATTTTCTAACATTGTATATTTCTCAAATGTCCATCATCTCAGCAAACTTTATTTTTACTGCAAGTTACACCCTCTGCCATCTATAAACAGTCTTTACACAGCACGATTTCCTTCACTGAACTATTAAATATAAACAAAATGACTAGTTTTGATTACTTATTACAGGTTCTGTTAATCTTAATTATGGTAAATATGAGTTGTGTAAATCCCCCAATCGTAACATAAGCAACATTAAACAAATTCCATGTGGTGTAATATTACATTATCAGAACAGAAAAAACAAACATATTTAGGCTTGTTGTAAGGTATACTAACACCAACTGTTCTAACAAAATAAAAGTAATCTAACATGAAATATAGCTCAAATTCCCTCTGGAAGTCAAGACCTGGAACATAGGACATCAAACCGTTCTTTAAGTTTTCTCCCTTAGAGTTAACTTTGTTTAGAGGCTTGAATCAATTATGTGGGACAAGAACCTGGTTGGTTAGGCCCAGTCACGCGTTACCTATCAACAATACAAGATGTTAAAGATTGATCCACTCACTAACACAGGCATTCCCAACCTGGTGCTCACGAGCACCAAAGTGCTCCCTAGTAGTCTGGCACTCTGGCAGTGCTATTCTTAAATATTTAAAATCGTGTTCTTGAGAACAAATCTAAGTGGTGCTCGCGAGCAACAAGTTACAAATCTTGCATTAACACCATCGACTTTACCATGAAAACGTAAACAGCTCGAGCAAAATGACAGATAAAGACAATATGCGCTTTATTCATTCGCACCGCCTATAACAGAGTAGTGACGGGTCAACATTTTCCTCTTTTAACCCTTAGATAGCCAGAATAAAATTGCTTGGTAGTAGCCAGAATAAAAAATTTAAGTGCAACAGTGGACACGGAGTTAATGGCGACTCTTATTTCCAGTCTCCTAGTGAGGGTGACAGTTGTAATAAGGAAGTTTCATGATTGCTAAATCCGTGTAATTCATCAGTTCAACCACCAATGTTTAAAGGTCTACCTTTCTCTAGAACTGAAGGCAAGAGGTGCACGATATTATGCAAGCCGTCTGGCTAGCAGCATCGCGGTTTAACGACTGACTGAGAGAAACGAGCAAATAGAGAACAAAATAGCATTACACATAAATAGAGTTGACCATGACTGCGTCCTGATCATGTTGTGATGGCCAGCAGGTGTCAACGCCAGGTATAGAAGCTGTTGCAGCCATCATCACTACCAGACTCCCTCCTGGTTGCGAAGTCACCATCTTCTCGGAAGACGCCACCCACACCGTTGCCTGGAGCCTGAGGGAGGTCCTGGCCCCTTCTGCCATCAAGGTGACAGCAGTTGTGTCTGATGAGTTGTGGGAGTGTATCTCTTAACTTACTCAGACATTTTGCATTCATTAACGTTGTATATTTATGATAATACCTTATATTGTAACAACAATAGTCATATATACAGTATAATAGGCCAAATCTTTATGCCAGTTGTAGTAATTTGTAATCGATATGTTATACAATATCACGGTCATTTAACCCTTTAGAGAGCAGAGGTTTCTCTTTCCTGAATAAAATCGTCGCCAGAAAAAAATACCTAATTGCACCGCTGCTCTGCAAAGGGTTGAGTGATAATACGTATACCAAATTTAGTCATCTATTCTATTGTACTTTACACCATTTAAGATCCATCTACGATACAATATATCATTTCTCGACAACAAGTACAGTATATAGGTAATCAAAAGTACATCTGGTTTGTTCTATGATCTTCGAATAAACACACACACGCACTATATATATTTATATATATATATATATATATATATATATATATATATATATATATATATATATATATATATATATATATATATATATATATATATATATATTACTTGCTTTACATAGCGAGTCTCCATAATCCATCCATCTACCTACGAACATTTGCTTTCCAGATGAACACTCTCACAGAAGGGGTGTTACTGCAGGACACTACGTGGCGCCCATCTCTGTGTGACGTGTATGTCTTCTTACTAACGGAAGGGGAAGCATTGGTGCGCCACGCTGATGTCAGTCACTACCATGCATCCATCCATCACCAACATCCGCACGCACTCTGGAACTACAATGCCTATTACCTCCTCCTCTTCTTGGACTCGAGCAACACCACTCTCAGCCCTTCAGATATAGCAACTTTGTACAACTTCAGGAAGACAGAGAAAGCGTTGATGGTAGAGCCACGAGGGGAATACCTCCTGGTATGGACCCACCATCTGTACTCCACCTCATCTACCCTTACGCTCCTCGACACCTGGAGAAACGGAAAGTTTCGTCGAGGCAAGAATCTCTTCCCCGATAAACTGACCGACTTACAGGGAACTGTGATTCGTGTTGCCACCTTTGATCACCCCCCGAGTGTTGTTTATGTTTATGATCAACAACACAACATTGACAGTCGATTAGGAGTCGATATGCAGATTGTACAGATACTCGCAGAGGCGAGAAATTTTTCTATAGAGTTCATTGAGGTCAGTCACGATGAGCTGTGGGGATTCGAGCTACCTAACGGCACTTGGGTCGGGCTAGTTGGGAAAGTCTTTTATGAGCTTGCAGATATTGGCGCTTGTAACATGTTCCTGGAGCTACATCGATGGAAACAGGTTGATTACTCAGCTCCTTATAATTTTGAGCGCGGCTGTTTTGTGGCCCCCTCACCCGAGCCACTGTCGAACTGGAAATCTCCAACAATGCCCTTCACCTGGACCACTTGGACCTCCATTGGCATTGGTCTAGGAGTTGGAGGAGTTCTGCTACACCTGGTGGTGGCTCTGAGTATCAGACCAGAGTCATCAGAGTTCAGAAGTGTTTCATATGATTACCTGTACGTCCTGGGGGCCTTGACAATGCGCTCACTCAATATCAAGCCGTCTTACCAGCCAGTGCGTGTATACGTGGGCTGCGTTTGGCTCTTTAGTCTCATCTTAGCCACGGCTTATTCTGCCAATCTGGTGGCCTTTTTATCTGTGACCCAAATGTCGGCACCCATTAACACCATGGATCAACTGTCGAAGAGTAGCCTGAGGCTCGGTGGCCACGCATTTTGGATGACGCAATTTGCTGCCTCCATTGACTCAACTGTTAGAGGATTTAATGACGTTTTGGAGACTGATGTGAACCTTCATTCTCTTTTTAACGATGTTGAAACAGGAGAATTTGCCTTGATTGAAAACAAGCAGTATTTAGAATTACAAATTGGAGCTCGCTACACTTACGGCAGCCACGCGTCCATACGCATTGTCCCAGAGTGTCTCCAAATCTATAGTATCGGCCTCGCCTTCCAGAAGAACTCTCCATTAAAACTTCACCTAAACAGTCTAATCTTACAACTGTTTGAGTCCGGTGTGGTGCACAAGTGGCAGGGCGAAGTGGTAGATTACTTCAGGTCCCAGTACGCCAGCAGGCGGCCCCGTACCTCAGGAAACTCACGCAGCAGACCCCTCAACCTGGCACATCTTCAGGGAGTCTTTTATGTGCTTGGCATAGGATACCTGGTCTCAACTCTCATTCTAGTGTTGGAGCTCATCGTTACCTCACAAGTCTGGTGCAAACAATTTCCTCAAAATTTCCCAACTATTCAGTAAATATGCAAGACAGGAACAAATCCCATCAAAACTTTCTCTGAAATGTAAGACAGACTCGTGTTCTTTTCAATCTACACAGGAAATGAAAAGCGAGTTATTTTTAAAGTGTTCACTGAAATACGAATTTAAACTTTATTATAGTTAAATGTAATAATGCATATCTTATTAATAATTGTATTTATTTTTTCAAGGAACTTTATTCATAATATATTTTTTTCTGGCAACTGTTTTTATAATAGCAGGCAATCCCTTTCATTCAAATACAAAGTTGGAAACTTTACCGGCGGAGTAAATACAATATTACAAACCTTTTCGAGGAACACAACTCCCAGTAGGCCTACAGTATAACGACCTGAACTTCAAATGAAACGCACTTAATACTTAAATTTGTAAGCACAGAATTATACATTTAAAAGATATATATATATATATATATATATATATATATATATATATATATATATATATATATATATATATATATATATATATATATATATATATATATATATATATATATATATATATATATATATGCTGATAACCACAAGGAAAGAAGAAACACTCGTTTCTTCAGTCGATGTCGCCATAATTAAAGTCCCCCATGATAAGGAGGTGGCTAGGGTTGAGCATCGCTGCGTTGTCTATTAAGGTTCTGAAGTTCCTTTGATTTGGTACGCTACAGTTTGGAGAACTGTAGATACACCCGACAATGAGTAAGTCCCCTCCCTTTAATTTAATTTTACACCACTTGGACTCTTCAAAAACATCCTCTCCCTGTACCCTCGGTGACCCTACCCAATATCGCAGGTTTCCTCAGGATGCAGTACTCCGGTTTCCTCCTGTACTACCACAGGACAATGAAAGCCGTAAATAAGAACTGACCGACCGAACTGCTAATTAATTGACAATGGCTTGGAATGGTAAACGTATAATGTACTCGTATATAGAGAAGTAAAGTGTTTTAATATAGTTATCCAGAGAAATATACATTCTATTTTTATTTAATAGAAAATGTGTAGCTGTGGGCTAACTAAATTAAACCATTACAAAAGACAAAATAATTGAATTGAATTTATCTCTTCGCCATTTATCAGGGTAAACATATACAAAACACCGGTTCCTTGATCCATCAACGAAACAAAATTTTGATAATATAGCAGTAAGCAGCAACCACAGAATTCCGGAAATTCACTACACTCAATCGATAGAACTTTTTTTCTATGATAATTTTCTTATATTACATTAGGTTAGGTTAGGTTAGGGTATCAGATTCTTTGGTTGCTGCAATCTGCAATTTTACCATATTTTTTCTCGAAGCGTTTTTTTTATGCTTTATGCACGAGTGATAACAGTTTCTGGTGGAAATGCTTCGTTTTTAGTTATGATCCATTTGTATTCCTTCAATATTTATACAGTACCCAGGAAATGGCTACATACAGGACCGTCCTGTAGCTAATTAAAAAAAGCTATAAGGACTTGACATGTAATGGCCTGTATATAGCACCGGCCTAACCTAAACAATATACTGTATATCTATAATGGAGGTGTATAAATATAGATGGGTTATTATTTCAAACAATGAGGACATATAAACGCAAATCTGAATATCAAAATTTTCTCACGTACATACAATACTGTACAGCATATAAAAGTAATCGTTTATTTCCACGCCGACTCGTAACGTTTCCCACCAATTCACTGTGACTGTTAAGTAGAATTATCAGTCTACCAACAAGAATAGATTTAACAATACACCTTTCGTTGGTCTCTGCCTTATGTGTGGTAGTAAGTTTAAAACAGACTCGGCACTAATCATTCTGTATGTGAAAAAGAAAACCTATAGATTCGGTAACAAGAGCTAGGATCTAATTGGCTTTGTTATAAGTTCTGGAGTGAGGAAGGCTCAATATAAAATGCTGCTGAGCCTCTTAACTCCATCCCTCTCAACCCATTCTCTTCCCCTCTTTCTCCCACCCTTCTTCATTACCTTCGTCTTAACCCCTCTTTTCCTCTCAGCCCTCACTTACCCTTATCTCTCTTCCTTCCTTTCAACTCACTCACTTCTTCCCTCCCTTCCTCTCAACCCTCTCCCTTCTATCCTCCCTTTCTCACACATTTACCCTCCCTCCCTCTCAACCCTTCACTTATTCCCTCGCTCTATCTCACCCCACTTTTTTCTGTTAAACCTTTCCCTTCCCTCTCTCCTCACCCCGACCTTCTCACAAATGAGACTAGACTGAGTAGGTGACTATATTACGTGTCCAAATCACCTCACGAGTAGGAACTTGCCATATGTTCATTAATTACTCACAAGTAGGTCACATACTCACACATTACTCACAAACATGGCACACACACACACGCACACACTAATTATAGTCACTATCTTCTTTTACACCATCCCGTAGTAGGCTTAGTTCTCATAATTCACTCTAATGAAGGGTTGAAAGTTTCCGTATACCAGTTGGTGTAGTACCTACTCTAACCTTCCTTATTAATGATAATGTGTGTTACAGTGATGATAATGACATACACAGTAGCTTTGACAAACAATTATTGATATTTTACGGCTATATTAGTTTTACTTTGATAACTTCAGTATCGTGGTCATCTCGTTGGTTCACAATCTTAACAAGTCATGAGACCCGCTTGCCCTTCCTCGCCCACACCCCTCCACCTACTCACACATTCGCTTAAATGCTGGCAACTAAATCCAACGAAGATATATCCACTGAATTTTTTCCTTGTACTATCAAATGTGGTGGTCATATCAAATTTGCATAATTCAACATTTACTGACTGTGCCTTTTCAGTGTCATCAACGGCATTTAATAAGAGAACATTTAAGAAATTATGTACTTCATTTAGAAAATCGCTCACATTACCCCTAAATAACTATTGTTACTTTAATGCACCTTGCTGATATCTCGCCCCTACAAGGTATATCAATCTAAATACCTGGCAGGAAAATGCAGTTGATATCACGCGTGACGTAGTGGAAGGGAAGAGGTCGGGGATCATGGAGGTGGTCTAGTGCGGGGTCCACAAGGAAACCAGTAAGAGAAAGTAGGTAGGTGATGCTAGCTGGCCTGGGAGGGGAAAGTGGTAGTGGTGGGTCATCCCGTCACCACTGTCAACAGAGCTCCGATAAGGTAGTTCACGACCAAATTTATTTTCCCTCGACACGGCAATATCCGGCATCTACTTGTGGATCCTATATGTATCGGTAATTGGTGAACGCTGCCTTTCGTTATAGCTTACACTTGAATAACCTGAACGAAAACACGATAATACAAAGAAAATCTACATGCATAGTTGCTAAATTCCATTCTCCCTTACGAGCATAACGTAGGTAGATGGCAAATACTGCACTGTCAAGCGTCCGTAACTACTTCACATATACTGAAATATGTAGTTGTGCTAAACTTCAAGAAGACTGGACAAGCTTTACTGGTGATGATCTAGTTCCATGTTAGCTATTTCAACTTTCAATACGCGCACAAATTCATCTAAATCCAACCATTTATCTTTCAATTCGCTTAACTATTTCAGATAAAGCGAAGGGTAACTTATTGTTTATGATCACAGCACATAACTCATCCATTGTGGTGTTCAAGGAACACTACATTCGCGAAAAATTTCTTTCATTTCACTAACACAATAAGTTGGTCGCGCGATATTACATAAGTTGGTAACATGAGCTGCTTTGATTAAATCTTCCTGTCCATATGTATCAGTTAATAATTTGTTTGCAGAAAGATAACTAGCTTCAACCACACTGAAACCACTAATTATTAACAACGCCCCTCCAAATAATTGTCCCTTTAAATATGTAAATTTCAGGATGCTGGTTAAATCTCTACGATTATGTACTGAACACTTTAAATTGTCAGAAGCTTAGCCACTTAGCTAAGTCACCATCGAAGGTTGGCAAGGTTAACGGAGGTAACTTAACACCCATTGGCTTTTGTAGATTCATTCCCGGTGAACTGGGTGTTACCTGTCCATTTATTCGAGCGATAAAGCAATAACAAGTGATCGCCGGCACGTTCGTGCCCTTGTGAGAGTTTGAACGCTCGTGACAGCGTACAGCGAATGGGGGTGTGCCAAGTCCGTAGACTTGCATGGTTAATTAGGGTGCGCCAAGTCCATAGACTTGCATTGTTTTCCATCGTAAATAAAATTGTTAACTAATGCCTTCCTAAAGAAACCATCGACAAGGGACCCGGTTTGTTCCACTCTACGAATTTTTTGCGATTTTTCCACCAAGTTTTATGAAAAACGATTGTGCCGTTTCGGCTGCCCAGAGCAGACACACAAACAGACAAACAGACGCACGCCTAGTCCTATAGTATATTAGATTCTTTGTTTATATTGTACACTATCAATCAGTTCTCCAGCAAACTCATCTTCATCATCTATTAGTTCATACAATAATTCATCATGTTTAGATATGGAATCAAGTGTACCTTGAATAGTCTGTCTGATTGCCAATAAATCACTTGATGTAGCAGTTGACAGAGAATCATCAAAATCCATTACTAACCTGATAAAACTTTCTTTGTAACCTTCTCTCACCTTCTTGATTTTTTTTTTTTAATTTCAGCTTCAGCCATGTTTGCTAAGGGATAAGCGACTGTTACAACGAGCCAATAAACCTAATTTTACTTATAGAATACAATTAACAATTATAGTGGAAATATGACAAGAAAGTGTCACCTAGGAAACAGCAGGCTTGACAAATTATAAAATTTTAAGCACTAAATTTGACTCATAATAAATTGATAAATTATTAAGTTAAATTACTAAATTTATGGCTAATTATGAAATTTATTATGAATTAATAAAATTAAAAAGAAAACACTTCTAGGGAATAGCACAGAAAAAGAAGCATCGATTACGTATAACTTCCGGTTGTACTACACCCGGGAAGTCAATTAATTAGTGTTAGCACTTTAACTATCATTAGCATAAGCAAAAAGATCTAGCTTTCTCTAAAATTAAATCTAATAAACGCTGGCTCCCTGATATATCCAAATGAACACCGTTCCATAGGTCGAATTCCGGCTTACTCATTACCAAAAGAATAAATCGGTGTTCCGTCTAAGACTTCGGTTAACCCCAATTTTAGCCTGATTATACTCGGAGGCGGTCATACCCCGTGAATTAGTACGATATTCGACCCCCCCTGTGCCCCCAGCCATGCTGGGTTTCATTAACAGCTCCGCGTAACGTAAGCCATAAACAATCAGGCTAGCCTAACGGTACGTTACAGTTATAATTACTCCCGTTAAATAATAAAGTTACACTTAGGCTTAAGCTCCTGGTGACGGCACCATTTTGTCCAGAATTGGTTGACATTTACATTACGTTATACGAATTACATAAACACTCGAAATTGGTGAAGATTATCTTCAGTGACATTGTTGGAGTTTAGATTACATTACTTCAAACTACGTACAAAGTATAAACTTAGGATATCCTACAATATGAATTGATACTCAAGGTTTGCAGATGTGGATCGAGGTCAGGAATTACTGGTGGAGCTTGGTTGGTGAGCCCCTCTCTGATCGTGGCCATTACTGACGGTAGTGAGTGTTGTGTTTCTCTGGTCACGATCGTTAACTTCGTTAAGGAACTGAGTACTGACGTTGGCAGGTAATTTGACATTCAACGGTAGTTGGTAGGATGGGCGCGCACACAAAGGAATGTAGACTAGCGTAAGACTGTTATTTATATCAGGCGTAATTATTTACAATTCAGGTGATTATTAAATATTACTTTAACTAAATATATCTTAAATTAAATGCAACATATAAATAACTCCCTAACTAAATGTCTTAAATTATTTCTATCGTTCTGCTATTCAACATACTAGATTAGTAGTTACGATACCTGCATACACAATAATCCAAACAACTAATAATCCAGGAGCAGGACTGTGCTATAGTTCTCAAATTGCTGAAGCAAGTGAGGCGTCTGCAAAACCCAAAGAAAAGACAGAATGTGTTCAGTTAAAAGTGAAGTCTAGGTAAAAATGAAGTGTTTGGCCAACATATCGTACGGCACTCCCGGCAGAACGCTCTGAGATTCCGTGGTGAGCAGAGCTGGTGAGTGGCGACTGATAGCATCATATTCGACTTCCATGCGTTTGGATGCATAATAATTCAATTAATTAATTGAGTTGTTGGAAGTGAAAATGCAGTGAAGCCAGAAATATTATACTGCTACAGCTGCAGCTGGCTGGTCAAAGAAGACCCTGAATAAGGATTTAATAATGCTAAAGAAGTTTGAAAATGACGAATGAATAGAAGAAACATGTCATCGTTTTAGGTATTATATTTTAATTATTATTGTTTTTATTTATTCAAATTTTTACTTGAATATTCAACACCTAATGTGAAGCTAATTTGAGCACTTATCCGGCCAGCAAAGCTCGCCACCAAACCGTTGTCCATTTCTCGCAATAAACGAAATTCTGCTGCTTGCTGGGCCGTCAGGCCAGCGGCCAACAAAACGGGCAATATGTTGGGAGGAAAGTGCCCAGTGTTCCGCCGCCTTAAGTTAAGTCGCGCGATTAAATATACGAGCGTTTGCTGCGCAAAAAGCTCATGTTTTCACTCGAACATTTTTGCTGTCGCGCGTTAGGTAACAGGCCCACTTTCTCATGATGATGAATCCCATAACACTGGTCGCTTTGGGTTTGGTTGACAGATCCTAACTACAGTATTTGGAATCCCGGATTATATAATATGCCTGTAGATTTTACCATGAGGCATATTAAGCAGCTGCTTCGGGGCCTCTACGAAGTATTGTTTTCCATATTTATAATATACACGGAGATTTACAGCGATATTGTACGAGGTAACCGAGAATCTCAAGGAAGTAATGTGGCTGTCACTGAACTCAACTGCTTTCACTTCCCCAACTAGAGACTAGTTTCCACTCGCAGCTGCGTCAACCGCGTCAACCGGGGGTGTGTTGACTGGGACATATTGAGGACGTGTACACTGTGACATATTCCTACTAGTTTGAGTCATAATTCTAATGAAAATTATATCTCTGTTTAAGAAGTTATAGCTGAGGGTTTTTTTTTTAATTTTGCCTATTCAGTTTGAATTAGTTTATCCTTTCAATCACCATGTTGGGGAGTCTTCAGATGCATTGTGTATATTTTCACATATTTATTGATAATCATAACAATTTTAATGATATCACAGCAGATGTATTTTACTAAAAGCTTACGTAACTATCAATATAAAGAAACTTACCACATATAATATTATTGTTCACGTTTAACAAACAACATCTTACATTTACGTTGACAAGAGTAAGGCAAGTGTCACTGTAATAACTGTAAAACACTAAGGCAATAAATTTGCAAATGGTGATGTCCATTCTTGGATTAAAAATTTCACGTGATGGAACACAGAATTAAAAGGAGCAACCATAACGGTAAATTTTCTTATATTTTTCATTGATTCCAGTTTTTAGTAATAAATATTGCTACACTCAGTTATCAGTAAACCATAGGAGTATAAATCAATGCATTCCATGTATTTTCCAGCAGAATAAACTCCTTTTCCCTGATGACAGCTTGTTTACCTTATTGAGTAAAATTGATTATGAATTTTCTGTTGATGGTTACCAATGATGGGGACTCAATCATGGTAGCTGTCGACTCTTTACAAGTAACAGAGGCCTTCGTTCTGGTGGCACCATTCGGGTTGGATCCGCTCGGCCATTACTCCTCTTTTCACCAGGCGTTGACGATTGTGGATGAAGCGGGTCTCAGCGGGTTTCCAGTTAGCACTGGGGTTGGTCCACAGCCGCTCAGCCAGGGCCGCCCCGCGAGGCCACAGCTGAAATAAAGACATACAGATAAATAACCAAAGCTAATCGAAAAACCTTCAATTAATTAATATTCCATCTACACGATTTAAAGACGAATTAATCTGTTCTGTTAAAAAACGAGGAACGAAAACATGATTTTAAGGAAGCACAAATAATTGATAATTCTAATATAATCCATTTTCAACCCATGGAATATTTGTCGAAAGCTGGTTACATTGAGCTCTTTAGGAAAACAAATTAAAAACAGTAAGTAAATGGAAACATAGTGTGAACTTAAAATATTATCCTTCCCGGCCACAAAATATTCTAAAACTCCGCCGATACTTTAGTTTTATCAAATCATAAATGATGTACAGACCAATATTACAAAGTCCTCATACTACTACAGTATATCAAACTTAATTTATATGCGTGTGTCTACCACAGGTTAACAAGCATACTGTTACCAGGGCCCGAGCATTGGAGGGATCTAGATGTATCGTTGTCCCGGCCCCCAGAATGTTGAAATGCCAGAGACAATCTGCGATACAATAGTGGCAGTATTGTCGATAGAGTTGGTAATGAATGGGGCAGTTGTCTGATGAGTGCTGAGGCCCGAAGTACGTGTGTTTGAGCTCTGGCTGTTACTAATGCATTCATTATTTTAGGTCGGCATTCTAGGCTTTCCACCGACTACCATAATACTGTCTGTTTCTACTATCACTATTAAATTTAGCCAAGTACTGTTACTGTTGTATGCTATTTTCTGCATAAAAAACAAAACAAATAAACTTAACCCTTCCCTCACCCATAAGAAGAGGACATGCGTAAAGTTTGTATTGCCTTTTCATTATCCATACTCCCGAATGTAGTACAGTAATGATACCATGCATTTCTGTATTCTTGTCAGAGTCAAGGTTGTAAAGGGTCTCTCGGCAAAACGGCCAGATTTAGTTCCTTTCGTACCTCCTCATAATGAAACTTGTTACTTCTATTGCCTAGTTACCTGCTCATTATAACAACTCTTACCTTCGAGTCTACTGCAGTATCGTCCACTTGCTCGGTCCAGAGGGCGGCTTCCCCACCCATGATGAGGTCACGCTGATCTGCGCCCGTCTGATTAATGGCGATTTCATATGGGCTGAAGTCGTAAACTTTCTGCCAACCCTTATAGGGGCTGCACCAGTTGTTGCCCTCACCCACCCATGCTCCCATGCCGCAGTCCAAGTACCATGAGTCGTAAGTGCTGAATATAACTCGGTAATTCTTTTTCAGAAGTTCTCCGATAACAGGGTCGTCGCCTGTAGTCCAGATTTGGATGATGTATTGGGAGTTGTTCAGGAACCGGTCAACATGCCCTGCCTCAGTCAGATGGGACGTCCACAAGATGCCCGTAACCTCTTTTTCGCCATTAGCAGTGGTAAGCAGCTGACGCGCCCTCTCCTGGAAGGTGCCCCACTGTACGTAGTAAGCGTCCGCGTCCAGACCGTTGTTGTTCTCCGTCATCCAGGCGACGATCTCGGCTGTAGTGTTCCAGCAGTTCAGATTCACCTATAATATACAGGCTAAGGATTATATACCGGCCAAATATACGTTGTCCATAAGTGTTAATGATTTTTTTAATTTACATACAAATTACGATAATTTGCCAACAATAAGTACCAACCTCATCTCCTCCGTAGTGAAACAAATCGAGTGGACTAAAGAGTTGAACCATCTCGTCGTAAATCTGGCCCAGAAGCTTGTACATGTTGGGGTTAGCCAGGTTAAGTTGTCCACAGGGAGGCTCCACACAATACGACTGCCATGGCTCCTGAACACCAAGAGTGATGTAATAAACGCTATAACATTTATAGAACAAAACATGTTGCATAAAAGTCTATCCCAGAGAGGTTTCTGGTGAGAACTCTCAACTATATAAATTAACATAACCCAAGGAGAACTCTTCTGTATTTCTCTTTAAGGCACCACAGAAGCCGAGTCATTTGTTGTGGACAAGTGACACAACCAACAAAGAGGATGTGAAACTAATAATATGATGTCTAGGAACCCTCTTGACGCCTCAAAGGAAAGGACTGAAAGGTTTACATTCATCAACATCATCATTCATACGGATAACGAGCATTGTTACCAGCAAAAAGATGAAATAAGATGTCATAACAGATATAAAGATAAAAAATAATAATTAATAATAATTACCCTATTGACGCAGACGGCAAGCTTGCCCAAGCCCTCCTCCTTCTCGGTCCACTGCCACCCGTTGCCAACATGAGCAGGAGCATCAAATTCCGGCAGCACACGAACGCCTCGCACCCGACCGTACTCTACCAGGTGCCTGATGTCGGCTGGGTAGTAAACGTGACGAGAGGAGTAGGCGCCATAGTAGGACATCTTGGGTAGACTCTCCAGGTAGAGCGGGAAGGAATGGCTGTCGGTGATGTGCCAATGGAAACTGTTGAGTTTGTTGGCCGCCATGGTGTCTAGTGTCCGTTCAATGGCTTCCACACCAATGAAGTTGCGGGAAGTGTCAAGAATTAAGCCACGATATTTGAAGACCGGGGAGTCACTGACTTCAGCAGTACTGACGATCATGAGTGAGTCTTGGTACTCCTGGTACTCCACAAGCTGCGACAAGGTCTCGAGGGCATGACGGGCACCGAAGTAGGTCGCTGTGATGATGATCGCTGTAGTAGTTTGTCCAGTAGTGGATACAGACAAACTGTAGGACTCATCTGTTTCCAGAGAAAGACGTGTCGCATCGGTGTTCACCGTCACGTCGAGATTGAGAGTGTGACCCACCGTGGCCGGGCCCCATGGGCCCTTCCATGGCGTCAACCCTGCAGCATAGTCTGGATGGTACCGCTGCAAATTATCCTTGAAGATCACTACCGCCTGCTCCAACAGTTCACACACAGCCGGTGCGCAGCTAGTCTTGTGAGTGATATTGCTGGGGAGGAACTGAACCACTTCTTTACCTACAGTGGCTGATTTAGGTTGGGGCCACAGTACGCCGAAGGGGCCGCAAGTCAGTTTACACGTGTTAAGAGTCACCAGGTCCTCCACACCTGTGTTATCTTCTTTAATACATCTGCCAACATCACACCTGTACCCCCAGGGTGACGGTAACCTGTGTGGAGGAGATAACCTTTAATTTAAGACGCAAGTGGCAGAGGAACACACACACACACACGACTACAATAACATTACCCAGATAACGTGACTTGAGCAGCTCAGTAATAGTCACCACAGGAGTCTCCCCTGCCCTTCCGTCTCTCTCTCTTGCCTGGTTAGCACATTGTTCAGGTGCGTCTTAATATATCATTAAAACTATGTTAGGGACTCGTATAAAACCTGGACAAAAGCACACAATTACCCCCAGGTAGAGTTAGGGTACTTAAGAATCAGGTAAAATAAGCTGGGGTGTTTAATCGTCACATAATCCTATTTTTCTATTTTTTCATAAAATTTACTTAAGATGTTTTATCGAGCATAGGATTCTATTTAGGTTCTGTGTGTTGTGGTATGTGCGAGACTCAATAATGACGTCATCGTGTATTAGATCTCAGTGTAATGTCAGGAAAGTAATTAGGCACTTCTTGGGGCGTCATAAAGGTAATTAGACTTTTAATTTGGTGTCAGTAAGGTAATAAATCTCTCGTGTGGTGTCAGTAAGGTATTAAGACTTCAATGTGATAACAGGGAGTAAAAAAAACTTCCATGTGGTGTCAAGGAAGCAATAAGACTCTCATGTGGTGTCAGGGAAGAAATTAGACTCCCATGTGGTGTTAGGGAAATAATAAGACTCCCATTTGGTGTTAGGGAAATAATAAGACTCCCATGTGATGTGAGGGAAGTAATAAGACTCCCATGTGATGTCAGGGAAGTAATAAGACTCCCATGTGATGTCAGCGAAGTAATAAGACTCCCATGCGATGTCAGAGAAGTAATAAGACTCCTATGTGGTGTCAGGAAAGTAATAAGACTCCAAGTGATGTCAGGGAAATAATAAGACTCCCATGTGATGTCAGGGAAATAATAAGACTCCCATGTGATGTCAGGGAGGTAATAAGACTCCCATGTGGTATCAGGGAAGTAATAAGACTCACGAGAAAAAGGTAGTTGTAGCAGCGGGAGCCAGGATAAGAGTCAGCAGCAAGGGGGCTACACCACACGCAAAGGAGCCTCTCATCGTGACGTCACACTCTCCACTCGACCTGTAATGACATGACACGATAAGAATTACATGACACATCTAACATTCTCCCCAAACAAAACCCAACATACACGACCAAATCCAACCCAACTCAACCCAACAGCTCAAAAAAGAAAAAGAAATAAATAAGTAAATAAATAAAAAATAAAATCCTAACTCTCCTCTCAAGCTCCACTCAAAATTTGACAAAAAAAGCTCAAAATTTTTCTCCTGCTCTCACCAAAAACCTCTCCTACGATACGCTCATCCTTTAATGCTATGAATACTCTGACATTTCAAGATCAAAGACTCAAAACTCTTCCTCCAACTCGCTCCGTTCATCTTTGACAAAAGCTTAAAGACTTTACCTTCACCTTTCCCCAAAACAACCCTACAACTAACTTACCTTTCGTTTTTCCTAGCTTTATGTGTAGTATTCTTTTGGTTGTGTTCGCCCCCATGTTCGTTTTTGGGGTTCTCGCTGCACTCGCGGCGGTGACGGTCTTCCAAACAGTGATACAGTCCGTTGCCCGACATGACCGATGCCTGGAGCCGCCTACCCCCTGGTCCCCACCCCCTGTCACCGAGTCCGAGCGTGGTGTAGCTCCTTCCACCAATCACGGCACTGCCTCATCGCCCACACGCAAGCTGTGTTAAGCCACGGCACCTTTTTTCTCTCACTAAAATTCCCTTCCATCCTCCCCTTTAGACTTCAACTGAACCTCCTTCCTTCCTGTCACTAGCCTTTATTCATTCAGCTTGAGGTCAGATCGTGGCTTGGAAAGGCGGTCTCCAGCCAACGTCTCACACCCTCACACCACCAAGCCGCAACTTACAGATAAGTCAACTACTTCCCTCATTCTACACATTGGCTTATGAAAATTAGGTTGCAAACTCATTCTAATCTTCTAATTTTTACTTTACAAACTAGGCAGTGACTGAGCTCTCAAAGACAAGAAGAAAAAACACTGACGACAAATACTTAGAATGGCAGTACCGGGGGTCGAAGCAGATAGCTGAGCTTTTCTGTTAAACTCGAGCGATAAGTACGTTTTGTGTTTACATTTCAGACAATTATCTAACTTCTATAATACAAGACTGACAACACTTTCTATGTTTCCATCGGATTCTCTGATGTTCATATATATAAAAAAAATGACTTCAGCCTCGAACAGCCGCCGTGGAACCAACACATAATCTCTTAACACAAAATACTCTACCCATAAAATACAAGATACCTTCAACATATACTCAATACATCAAGAGTCATTTATCTCACGGTGGGTGTACATAATTGACTGTATAATAAATTTATTCTCTCACAATTTCAAATTCCCTGAGCATCCTGAGTTATTTAAAAATACCCGAGTCCCTGAGCGAGTATACGAGAGAAAATGGAAGAACTACGACATCCTGAAATGGATAGAGAACGGACATCTCTACTGGGTGACTCAAACGGTTCACATGTTTTGTGGGCGCTGTAGCACAATATGAATAATTAAGTGTTGAACGAACTAACTACACAAGCTTGACCATGACACTAGTACCACGCCCACTTCGCTAAAGGTCAGTCGTTTCTCAAGCTCAGGGTGCAACCTAGGGAGTCAGGGTTCAACAGTTGCTACCTACTTTCCCTCACTGACTTGTTCTTCCCCTCCTTCCCCATCCCTCTCACTCATTCTTCCTCTCCTCTTATTCCCCCACTTTTCCCCTCCTCTTACTTACTCCTTACCTTTCACTCACTCATTCTGTATCTCTCCTTATTCCCTCCCTCTTCCCCTCCCCTTATTCCCTCACTCTTCCCCTCCTCCTTTTCTTACTCCTACCTCTTCCTCAGTCCTCTTCATACTCCTCATCCCCCATTCCTCTCCTCTCTTCCTTCATTCCTCCTCTCTCTTCTCTCTCCTCCCTCCCCACTTCTCTTATTCTCTCTTTTCAGTTTTTCCTTCATCCTTCCGTCCTTATTCAGTAAAACTATTGCATAATTTTATAATTATTTTAGCAGGTGTATAGACAACGCAAGTATTCGGTATACTGTATATAGACCGTAGAGGTATACAGTTTCCAATGTATACATAGATAATGCAAGTATATAAGACTCGACGTATATAAACCGAGTTACAGTGAGATTAATGTATAAAGATGAAAAAAAGCAATAATAAAGAAAAAATACATGAAACGAAAGCACAGAGTAATAAGACAATAAATAGACAAAAACAAAAGACAGTGAAACCGAGAGATAAAAGAGATACAGATAAAACAAATAAACAAAGACAGTAATGGAGAAAGGGAACTAAAACAGTGGAATGGAGGAACAGATTAAGAGATAAAAATCAAACAGTGAAATGGGGAGACAGGGAGAATGAGACAAAAAAAATAAGATTATGAGACAGAGAAATAACGATACATAGTACGCAAAAGACAGTTAAATAAGGAGATGGGGAGAGATAGACGAAAACCAAATTAAATATAATCGTAAAGAAAGAGACAAAAAGGCAAAAACAAAAGTGAATCGGAGAGAGAGAGAGACAGAGAGAGACAGAGAGAGAGAGAGAGAGAGAGAAAGAGAGGATACCTTGCCTATAGTTTGTTCACTCGAAGCTTGCAACTGAGGCCTGGGGTCAGTTTGTAACAAAGCAGCTGATTGGTTGGCAGACGGACACCTGACGAATCACTACAGTTCTTCAGTATTTAATCCATCTGACACTAATAAACTGACTATAAAGTGTAAATCCACAACGGCTCACAGAGATAAGCCGTATCGGGGATTATCGCTCCTTGAAAAAAATTACTTATGGCTGATCTAGGAAGCCATAAACAGACTGATAAGACAAGTTAGCAATGTTTACTCTCCAGGAGGAACCGAGTCCCAGTTGATCCCTAAAGCTATCTATCGTTTCGCAAAATAAAAATTAAGAAATTGAAGAAGGTAGTTATGCGGACTCAAACCACGGCAAAACGGAGGCATTAAGTGAATCCTTCGCCTCAGCATATACAAACAAAGATGGAAATAACCCAAATACTTTTAAGGTAAGGCAGTTCGGTATCTAAAGTGTATGAAGACTATATCATCTACACTCAAGGTTCATAGATCCCTGACCCATCCCAGTGTGTTATGGGTGAGAGCTTTCAGAATCCTTTAATATCTTGTTTTGTGGAAGTATGGACGAGCAGAAGACCCCAGATCCTATAAGACTGGGAATTAGCATATCTGAGTCCTGTTCAAAAAGGGTGATATAGCCAATGCAGGATTAATTACAGGATGGTGAGTATAACCTGCATAGTGTGTCAAGAACTACAGAGCATTATAAGCTATGCTATCATTAACCATTTACAAATAAAAAGATGAGTTTTGATTGATATTAATAATAAATCATTCTCTCCAAAGATATTTATTTTGTGCGTGTCTAGTTAGCATGTCGAGCACCGTCGTCCTGACAAGGTAAACCATACCTGTTGCTTTAGTAGCGACGGGGACCAGTGTATTCGTGCATGACTTGTGTACAGTTCGTACCTGTGAACAACGCCTAACGATGAAGGTCAACATGACACTCTCCACCGACCACTTTTAACATTAAGAAAGACAACTTACAGACTCCCGAACAAAGACTCTCAACAGTTTATATACAGTTTTATCTCTCTCTAGCTTACGGTACTTAAAGGAAACCATGGAATTTGTGACGACAGCGGCAGTCAACTTTAAAATTATTACGGAAGTGAAAGTATGACTATCAGGCGGACTGGCACACGGACATACATGATAAACTCTATGAAAAAAAAAACTAACTCAGGAGTTGATTTTCATGTTCGACGCAGATAAAAGTGTGACGAAAACAAACGCTGACCTGACAAACTTGAGTAACAAATTCGGTAGAAATGCATCGACTAAAACAGACGATAATCATACAGAAACAAACATGTGACAAACAGACAGACACAGGAGGAAAATACTGTACAATATGCCACGGTAATTACTGTTGTGGTGGGGATTCCATTATATCCCGTTAACGTAACAGTTTAGAGAATGAAAAATAATTAACTGTAAAAAATATAAAATAAAATCCTTCAAAAACATTACCACAAACACGTCAATATTGTCCACAAGAAGTTAGAAGCAGAACAACGAGAATTAACGTATAAATTCCCCCGGTGTGAGACCTTGAGCTGAGATCATCTATTTTCACTTTTCATGACAGCAAGCACATTCTCGTAATCATGCAACACGAACGAGAGAAGGGGCAAGAGGCAAAAAAAAAGTGAGATAGGTAGACAAAGAGAGAGAGATATAGAGAGGGAAGGGAGTGAAAAACAGGTAGAAACAGAGAAAGTGTGATAAATAGACAGCATGATATATAACAGAGGATGAAACAGAGAGAGAATGAGACGAGAGCGGGAGATACAGAGAACGGGATAGAATAATAAGAGAGGAAAAAAGAAAGAATTAAAGCTACAAAATAAACAGTTTAAGACATTCGCAGCAATATCCCTTTTATAAATTACCTATTGCGAAAATGCCTCTTTTACCTTTCATGAACCATAAACTTTTGCTTTAATGTAGTATAAAAAAACCATACACAATATAATTGATAACTAAACTCCTCTTGGAATATTTGTGATAACGAGGTGACAACTTTGGGTAAAGAAAGAGAGAGAGTTGGTGTGAACAGACACTACTTACCTTACAGTACGTTGACGTCTCCGACCACAACAGCAACACAGTCTGCTGGGGCGTCCGGCAAGTGACTGGGCTCGGTTGAGGTGTGTCCTCGATACTAGTGCAGCCGGCCCTACCACCTCAACGCTGCACACACACACACACACACACACACACACACTTTGCTTCCCCCCCCCCCCTCATCTTCCTCCTCACTATCAGGTGCTCTTAGTTCCTCCTCCTCCTCCTCCCTTTTCTTGTCCATTGCCCTCAACATCTCATCCTCTCAAGTTTTCCTCACCTATTCGAACCCCCTTTCTTCTCTCTATCAACAGGTGCTCAAAACACCCCCTTTCTAATTCCTCCATCTCTCCTCTACCTCTGCGTCTCTCCCTCATCTCTCCACCACCTACAACCTCAACTCTCTCTCTTTATTCTTGATATTCCACTCACCTCTTTCTCTGCCTTTTGTTATTGCTCTCTCTCTCTCTCTCTCTCTCTCTCTCTCTCTCTCTCTCTCTCTCTCTACCACCAGACACTCCAAGTTCCCCCACACCATCTCCCCCTCCCACCTTCGCCGCTTTTGTCTCTCTCTCCTCATCCATCACCTCCCCTACCATCAGACGCTACAAGTGCCCCCTCCTCCTCCTGCCCACCACAAACAACATCACCCCCTCTTCTCCGCCCCACCTCCTCGCCCCCACTACCTGCAGACGCTTCAAGTTTCCTCGCCCACCTCTCTCTCTCTCTCTCTCTCTCTCTCTCTCTCTCTCTCTCTCAATAGATGTCCCAAGCCTTCTCCACATTTCCTTTGTGTCCACCACCACCCTCTTCTCCTCAGTTCCACCTCGCTATGCCACCATAAACCAAGAGTCCCAACAACTTTCACACATACACACACACACACACACACACACGCACACACACACACACACACACGTTTTACACCTGTGGGTAGAGACGATGTTACTCTTTGTAAAAAAATAACCACTTAATATTACTTCTACCTCTCCAAGTTCCCATTTATCCTCAGTACACATTTTTATATCGAAGTGTTATATGAAGGAAAGAGATTCTGTGACGCCGCTACCTTCATCTTCAACAAGATAAAACTAACCAGAATTACGAATGATAAAGTGGATTGATTTTGCGTGTAGCAGAAGCCTCAGTAGTCATGGTTTCATCAGCAGATATTGTACGGATAAAAACTGGTTATTCCGCGCCTCTCAGTTCCTTGACCCTTACATATACCCCCCTCCATCACCCCATACTAACTCCCCCTTCCGCCCCTTTCCCTCTCCCCTACCACATCACCAAAATTGCACTAGCACCGGCAAGGTCAATTACTTCCACTACCACCACGCTATGAATTGCAAATTAGCTCCCTCCTCCAAAAGGTAAGGTAAGGTAAGGTAAGGTAAGATAAGGTAAGGTAAGGTAAGGTAAGGTAAGGTAAGGTAAGGTAAGGTAAGGTAAGGTTAAGTTAGGAGGAGTAAGGTTGAGTAAGGTTAGGTTAGGTTAGGTTAGGTTTTCTATGAAATTATTCATTTTTATGTATTATGGTGATCTACAGTGTAAAGCTGAGTGTTACAAAAAGACAAGCTCATCACACTCTTGTTCTCCCTAATTTACGAGTGGCAACACAAACTCCCTGTTCCCTTACCCAGAGTCCTGTTTTGTTTTATTTTATATGAGCTGTGATCCCAGTGCAGCAGGAACCATTTGAGAGTCAATTGGGGTATCAGGACACCTCAAATAATAATCCTTTTAACTGTCATTAGACTGTACCTCTTCTTTCTTCATCTAACTCTTAAATACAGTTATTAATACTAGGAAAAACAACGCTGAACAGACCCTTTATTATGAGGTCACATTTCTTGGACACTGGGCACGGCCGACATTTATGTGGTCACTAGACAACTGGAAACGAATCAAAAAAAATTAAGAACATTGAGGAAAAAGCTGCACAAATGTCTCTGAAAATCACATATTTTTTTTCTACTGCAAGTCACATGGTTTTTGATCGCCCCTATGCTATACGGACCACTTCTATACACTTCTGCCACACTACGGACCACTTCTATGCACTTCTATCACACTACGGACCACTTCTATACACTTCTGCCACACTACGGACCACTTCTATACACTTCTGCCACACTACGGACCACTTCTATACACTTCTGCCACACTACGGACCACTTCTATGCACTTCTATCGCACTACGGACCACTTCTATACACTTCTATCGCACTACGGACCACTTCTATATCTTGGTTAATTCCCTAAACCACGTGATCTTTCAGTTCTTTACTCCACCATTGGTAATCCCAAAGTAATATTCACCCTCCCCCCCCCAAGATAACCAACACCTTACCACCGGTAGATAAGATAACACAAGGTAAGACAATTATCCCACCTCCAGGTAATATAACAAGACAGGTAATAATGGTGTCTGTTAACTCATATGTCGACGGAGGTAAATATTCTGTATTTAACTTCAAATTTTGATATAATAAAAGCAATTACTACTAATACTACTATAATAATAATAATAATAATAATAATAATAATAATAATAATAATAATAATAATAATAATAATAATAATAATAATAATAATAATAATAATAATAATAATAATAATAATAATAATAATAATTAACTGAAAAATAACAATATGAAAATTAGCTTGTCTTATAAAAATACTTTTAGGCAATTTGAATATAAAAGCACTTAAAATATTTCGTGATTAGGCACTTACACACACACACACACACACACACACACACATATATATATATATATATATATATATATATATATATATATATATATATATATATATATATATATATATATATATATGCAAATAAATCACTGTAGGTGCTGTAATTACATCTTAAAGCCACTGAACATTGAATTACACTTTGAGAACTTCTGTTTTTTCTTATATATATATATATATATATATATATATATATATATATATATATATATATATATATATATATATATATTGTATGTAAAGTCGCGTGTTTTATTGGGCTAATGAAATATATATATGGAGACACACACACACAGTTGTTATTATTATATTACAACAAAGGTGCCAGGATTTAGAAGGGGTAAATGTGTCCGGGGTGGGGGGGGATGAGGAGGGAGAAGAGGGGGTTGTGGAAGGGAAAGTGGAAAGAGGTAACAAAGAGAGGAGAGGATAAGGGTGGGACGAACGGAAAAGAGAGGAAGGAAGGTAAGTTGGGAGAAGGAGGAGGAGGAAGGTAATAGAAGGAAGAAGGGAAGGAAGGAGACAGGGAGAGACATGAAGAACGGACGGGAGATAAAGAAAGGAAAGGAGGGAAAACAGGATATGGAAGAAGCGTGTGAGGGGTATGTGTATGTCATTGGGTCAAAGTAAGTTCACAACATTGAAGTATGGTGTACCGTGAGCTGAGAGAGAGAGAGAGAGAGAGAGAGAGAGAGAGAGAGAGAGAGAGAGAGATTTACAAAAAGACTGATGGATGAATAATTATTTTTTGACGACTTAAGGAATATGACTAACATCCATGATACTACATTTGGTAATTCTGTTGATGAACCAGGTCCTGCCGGCTCACTTACTGCCATACTCCCTTGATGAACCAGGTCCTGCCGGCTCACTTACCGCCACACTCCCTTGTCCGGTAGTCGAAGATATAATCGGGAAAGGCCTCCAGGAGAGCGATAACATCCACGATACAAGACAGCTGTTGCTTTATAAAGTTTTACTGCTTGTGATTTGCAGTATGTACGAGATGTGTCCGAAGGCTGGTAGTTTCCATGTTGCCTGACTTACGTTATCCTCCACTGCCAGCTGAGTCAAACTGAGTCTCCATGTGCGTTTTCTCGGTGAATAATAAAAATAAGCAAAAATATGAGAGTAGAGTCGTCAACAAACGCTAAGGTTTCAGACATGATGTTTGGAAGGTTCGTTGAAGCAGACACCCATAATAGGAGCCAGCACACGCCCTTGTGACACAGCAGCCAAACACTTCACTGTCGCGCTCACGAAAACCTTGAGGCACGAGTTTGGAAGGAAGTCGCCAAGGAAATATATAGAATTTTTAATGAGCACACAGCTCCTGAGGTTTTGTCAGTAGGACTTAGTGTAAGATCCAGTTGAGTGCAAGTGTCCCCACAGAGCTACTCTTGCCAAGGTCACAGTTAAACAGTCCTCACAATCACTTTCAACACCATCACAACTGTAAGCGGCCTCACTTGTCAACTTCATCACTGTCAAAGCTTTACACGTCCTCAAAAGTCACCTTCTTCACTGTCAAAGCTTTACACGTCCTCAAACGTCACCTTCTTCACTGTCAAAGCTTAACACGTCCTCCAAGGTCACCTTCTTCACTGTCAAAGCTTTACACGTCCTCAAACGTCACCTTCTTCACTGTCAAAGCTTAACACGTCCTCAAAAGTCACCTTCTTCACTGTCAAAGCTTTCATGTCCTCAAAGGTCACCTTCTTCACTGCATGTTCTCAAGGGTCACCTTCTTCACTGCCAAAGCTGTAAGCGTTCTCACAGGTCGGGTGGTGAAGATCACATGCCAAGGGTACACGTGAATGCCCTACCACTGTCCTTGGCCTTCGTCAGGTGATGTCGTTGCTAGGTAGTGGCGGCTCAGAAGGTGACACACCTTACTCTCCCCCACCATTCTTCCCGCCCCCTCCTTCAACCCTCGAATCCCCCTTAAGACACCCTCAAGAAACACCATCCTTCCCTTTAAGACGCCCTTCCCTACCTTCTTCCCCCTAAAGAAGACTTCCCCAACCATCCTGACCCTCAAAAACTCTCATCCCCTCCCCAAACACCTCAAACGCTCCTCCCCAATCCTCCTTCACTTCAATTCATCCTCCCCTCTCTCATCTCCTCCTCTCCCTTACCCCCATCCTCTTTTGTCTCCTTCCCTCTCTTTATCTCCTCTTCCTTGTTATTATCACTCCCCTCTTATCTCATCCTATCTCTTACTCTCGTCCCCTTCTTTTGTTTCCTTCCCCTCTCTTGTCTTTTCCTCCCCCCCTTATTATCACCCCTATTGTCTCCTCTCCCCCTTTATTCTCACCCCCTTTCATATTTCCTCCTTGTCCCCCC